CGAACCGCGGTTTGTCTCCCTCGGGCTCTGTGCTTAAGACTGTAGAAGAATCCCTTTGCAGGGGGGCTGGGGGCAGCGCGGACCCCCGGTTTGGGGGGATGGCTCCCGAGGACATCTGTCGAAAGAGCGAGACCCGCTGGGGGACGGTGGCCCGGCCAGCCGGAGGCACGCCAGGGCTGGGGGCAGGCTGCGGGAGGGAGGCAAGGGACTCCCCCACAGTGGGGTGAGGCCTGGCGATCAGGGTGGAGATCTCGTGGGGCAGGGAAGGCTGCGAGGCAGAAAGGGGCCGCACCTCCCGGGTCAGGTTGGTGTTGTGGAGAGCCTGGGTGCTCTTGTGGACCTCATTCTTCTGTGTGGCCCCGGGGGGCTGCTGGGGCGCCTCTGCGGCTGCTGCTGCATGAGGGAGAGCTGTGAGGCCGTCGGCGAGGCGTACTGGAAAGTTCGGCCGGCCAGAGGGCTCTGTACAGGCGGGCTGCAGACAGCGGTGGTGTAGGAGCAGGGCGAGAGGATGACAGCTTGCTGGGGTGTCTGCGTGCTGGGCGAGGGGGAGTGCAGGTTTCCATGGGACAGGCTGCTGGCGGTGTACACAGGAGGGGACTGCGTCCTGACGCGTGACGACGAGGCAGAGGTGCTGGAGTTCAGGGCGGGCATCTGCTGCAAGCTCACCGGGGCGATGGTCTGCACCATCTCCCTGTCGTGCTTCACGATCTGCTTCAGAATCTCATTCTCCTGGTTGTTGAAAACCCCAGTGTTGAGGTCCTTCTGGAACTTCTGCAGGAGGATTGAATTCTTCTTCCCTTCACGGAGAGGCAGAAGAGTTAGCAAGCCTGACACGCAGGGTCAGAGAGGTCAGAAGAGTTAGCAGAGCCTAACACGCTCTGACTTTGCGTTTCAACCCCTATCACCAAAGGTAATATATTATTTAAGCTTTAAACACCGGGCTGAGCAGGGGCCACAGCGTGGCAGCGAGCCTGCTGCAGCAGGCTGTGCCACACCAAGCACCACCAGCGCAACCAGCTCCCGACGGCCGGCCTGCCCACACACCGCATCACCCCTCGCTCTGCACCAGCACGGCAGGCTTTCATCACACCACCGCGCTCAAAGACACCTGAAGTTTCTGTGCCTCTTCACTCCTAGTGTATTGCTTTTACTACAGTTATTCTGAAAATGTAACCATGGTGATTTACTGAAAAACAAGATTGACAAAGCCATCAGGGTCTGCATGTGTAACGTCCTTCTCATTGCAAAACTGTCCTAATTTCCACTAAACTGTTACATAACTTAAAATACACCTGCCATTTAGCATATTCCCTGGAACTAATTATTAGACATTTGTAACCAGTGACCACTAGCTTGCAAGAAATCATCTTTTTAAATGTTTATGAGCTAATATGAACTCTCAGATAACATGACACCTGCTTGCAGAATAAAGACTGCTGTACACACTGTCCTGATGCTGCTTGATGGCTCTTAGTGTCTGCAAGATGTAGACACTGTTCTGTGTCATCAGACGCACAGGAACACAATTGCACTCAACTGTTGCTTTTTTTGATAAAATGGTTCGCATTTTATCTTTGTCCTGTGTAGATTTCATATTGCAAATACAGCATCTCAGACAGGATTGCTACTCCAAAAGCAGACTGGGCTTTACTACTACTTATGATTTAAACATATATTACTTAGAGCTGGACTACATTTCCAGAGAGTCTTGAGAGACAAACTGTAAGAGTTTGAAAAATCTTGATAACATAATTTAACGCACTGAGTGCTAACAATCTGCAAAATACTAAACCAGATCTATTGAATATTAGAAACCTGTGTACCTGTATTTCATTTCTATACTCTTGCTATATTAAACAAAACATGCTTTCTTCCAAATCACATCTTCAGCTTTGAATAGCAGAATGACACTCCCCGGCAATTCTTTCTGTATTCAGTTTGAAGGAACTGCAGACATAACTGTACCG